GTTTACTTTCTATTGTAGTAACCCTCGTAAGATACTTTTAAAAGTGCGCTCGTGCTCCCCTATTATATTAATAATACTCATTTGTGTTCAAATCTTCATCGAACGACAAGTTTATAAATTGTAATGATTCTTCTTTTCTCTGTAGAGTTACTTAAAGTGATGCTGGTCTGTGGTTCTGATCTGTTGGAATCTTTCAGTACTCCTGGCGTTTGGATCCCTGAACAGGTCAAATTCTTTAGCGGCTGCAATTTTTATATCGCCTTTTATTTTATTCGAAAGTATCTTTTTTAATAATCTGGCGATTTTCAATTTTCTATAACGCGGGACGATGACATTGTTTTATTTTTCCAGGTCAAGACCATATGCAGAGATTTTGGGCTGGTTTGCATTCGCAGAAGTGGTCAAGATGTCGAGAATATCATATCTGAAGATGATATTTTGAATGAATATAAGGTAAACCGTCGTTTGTTTTTCATATTTTGAGATATAAATTATCGTTTTAGAAGACATTGGCCGTAAATATATTCAGTTCATGGTCTATTTTCTTGCAGAATAACATCACGATTGTCGATGAAGTAGCACCAAATGGAATTAGTTCGACAGGATTAAGGTAAAAAATACATTAAAAAAAAAAAAAACTCATCCATTTGATGTAATTTTTGCTGGTTTTTTTTTTTGAAATACAGGGATTGCGTTTCGAGAGGACTGTCGGTGAAGTATCTGACCGAAGACGGTGTTATCGACTATATTAAACAAAATCAACTATACAGAAAACAGTAAATAACGATGATTCCCTTTCGCCTTTCGGCAGTTGATTGTGATTTTTGGAACGAACCTGCAGTTTCGTACAATACAGTGACGGATATTTTGTAAGAATAAGAACATTTTTTTTATTTTTTTTTCTTGCATTCATAAATTATTTTCATATTCAGATATATTATAAATAAAAATTAAGATTAAAATATTTTTCTAGTACACTAAAATTACAATATCAGCAAAATTATTGTAATTCCAAGCAGTTCTAAAAAGAAATAAATAAAAAGGAAAGAAAGAAAGAAAAGTTTTAAATCAGGTAACGTACACGTGTCAATAGGGTCAACCGTTGAAATCCAGGAATAGTCAAATTTAATTAATTAATATTAATGTCAAATTTGTATTTTTGAAATTTGAAATTAAATATTGTAAATAACCGTGGTTACCAATTCGAACACATTTACAAGCTACTACCTCTTTCTGAGCACCGCCACGCTACTGACCCAGTTCCGATAATGCTAGACGGCGGCGGCGGCGGCGGAGGCGGTGGCCACCAGAGAATGCCCATGGACATTGACCCAACAGCACAGGTTTTTTGTTTTAAATTTATTTAATTTCAGTTGTGTTATTCGTAATCAATTTTGTTTCCCCCTTTCCGAATTAACCAGTACTGAATAGATTTATTATGAATTATCTCGGCTGTTTTCCATGTTGACTGAAGTTGAGAAACCGTGTCAGATGAACATGCACAAACAAATTGTTTCTGAGTTTCTGGCGAATGATCTTGTTTGAATTTTCTTTTTCATGTATTTCATCCCCTATTTTCCCAATTTATAACAAAAAATTAAAAATTAAAAAATAAAAATAATAAAATAAGTATATGTGTTACGGATTGGGTTAAAAGAACAGCCATTATAAGCAACCATTACATTTTAGAAGTTATGTTCGATTTTTTTAATTTTTTTACGAGATATTTTATCTAGTGTATGCTATTTATCGTCACTCAGTTGATTTGGTGTGGTTTGTGGTGTCACATTATCAGTTTAATATTCGAATATACCGTAATGTATTGATTTCAAAGACTTTTTAGAAATGTAGATTTTATCTATGTTCGATAAATAAGTCGACAACTGTTGTCTGGATATATGATCGGTATATTAAGCCTGATTAGTGGTCTAACTATTCCACCTGCCAATCAATGATAGGGCATTAGTTATTCACTACTCTGATAAAATGTAGACGATGTGAATTGTTCCAGAAACTTCAAGATGATTTGTACGAACTTGGTCAAAAAGTCAAGCACCACGAGGCGAATGTCAAACACTTGACGACTTTAAAGACCAGATTCGAGGAATCTTTTCTCAGTATGCAAGGTAAATGCTAAATGTCTGATGATTTCATCGTTTGCTCCTATTTTGGTAATTCTCTCGTATAATCTTCTTCTTGTTGTAACTGCGCTTGGGAAATGCGATAAATCGAGCATCTCCAAAGAAGTAAATATAGACTCCATCCATGCAAAGAGTGAAGAGGAAATAATCGAGCGGATACTTAAACACGAAAACTCGGCAGCTGCCATTTTGTGCAGGATGAAAAGCGAAGCTGAAGCGTTATCCATTGATCATTCGCTCACAAAGGATGTCATCGGTATTGTAGCTACACTTGGAAAAGTCGAAGATGACAACCTTAGCAGGCTGGTCCTTTTTCTTGCTTCAATTTATAGTTCTGCATCAAAGCTTCGTATATTTTTTTTTAATTTGTTGCTGAAATGGGAGTATTTTAATTGTGGAAATTAGGGTTCTTTCGGAGTATTTGGGCATAGAAACAATGCTGGGAGTGGTTTGCAAGACGTACGAAGGAGTCAAAGCCCTCGAAGCATACAACAAACAAGGTTCGATAAATAAAAGTTTCGGCCTGCATGCATTTGCAGCTTCTGTGGAGAGGCCACTCGCTCACCGATTTCTCGTTATTTGTCTTGAAAATATAAGGTGGTGCTAATATTATATTCTTTGTTTGTTCATCATTTTCCCATTTTTTTCAGATTAAACTTTTCCATTAAATTTTTTTCTTCTCGTTTTTAGGTCATATGTTGGGGAGTTTGTAAGCAACGATCCTCAACGGAGGCTTGCTCTTCCGAATCCGAGATTACCAAACGGCGAAACTCCTAACGGCTTTCTTGGCTTTGCCGTAAATATGATCACCATCGAGGGCACTAACTTGTATTGTGTCTCCAAAAACGGGAACGAACTAAGAGAAACGCTCTTCTATAATATTTTCTCGAATTTGCAAGTTTATAGATCGAGACAGGACATGCTCAAAGCTATCTACTGTATAAAAAACGGAGCCGTATCTCTTGACGGAGGAATGATCAGAAGCCCTGGAGTTTTTTCATTAGGGCTTCGTCACGAGTAAGCATTATTTCCTCCAAAAAAGAGGGATGTAAGTGATGAATATTATGTTCATTTATTTGTTTATTTTCTCATTTTTTTAAGGAGGGGCATAGATGTAAAGTTCCCAATAGGCGCCGAAAGATTGATGAATGTACCTTTGAGCTACTTAGAGATTGAGAAAACGATGAAGGAGACGAGGTGGAAAAAGGACCGAACATGTGAAGATATGAAGAGAGAGCAGGCTCTATTAGACCATGCGAGATTCAACTACGAAACGAAGAAGCTTTCGCATATGCCGTCTCAGGTTTATTTTTATCGTCTTAAGTTATTTCTTTCGTTTTCGTTTGTTTTCTGTAATGACTGTTGAGAGTAAAATATGTTGTGTTTACGTTGTCGGTGTGGTCAGAATCCAGTGGCGGGACGTGGATCGGGAACGAGATGAATTGATCGGTGAAAGACGTTGTGTCGTACGCACTATTTATGATGGGAAAAAAATCGATAGATGGGTTAACAGTAGTATATTTTTGTGTTAACGTGTTAACTGCCTATGTACAAAAACCTCTTCTTTTCTTGTGTGGTAAAGGCGTGTTTGTTTCTCATACTTCGTGATTTTGAAACTTGATAGATACATCACCATTTTTAGTGAATTATAAGCTCAAATGACAGAGTGGACATCAAATTAAAGGATTTCTCTTTATAAAAAAACACTAATTATTCCAATATATTAATTAGTAAATAGAAACAAAAAATGATTGTCCAATAGTGGCTAGCCCATTTATCTTAAGTGGGCCGAAGAAGCACCGACCCGTTATCCTTCCATTATAGAGAGTTGGAAGTTTTCGCTGCTCTGTCAAACCAACCTGATGAGTTGCCCTCCACTTTACTAGCACGTGGCTCAAGCCTTCGCCCGAGTAACATGGCCCAACTCACCACTTGGAACGGGCAATTCGGTTAATTGCATCCATCGGTTCAGCTAGACAGTCAAACGACGTGTCCAATCACAATAATGCCCCCAAACTTGGGTGATAAGCCCACGTTACTGAGTTCGACGAACAATATTCAGTTTCTTATCAATTATAAATGAGTGTAAATGGTATTACATTCTCCATGTGGAATGAAAACACTAGCTATTTTTCAAGTTAAATTGCGTTGTGGTTTCGCTCTTCTTCAACTGTATAAATTGGTTTTAAAATGGTGAGATGATTAAGGTGAATCAACGTATGAACGAGAAAAGTTTGATCTATTTATTTCTTCAACCTCCCTCTCATTTATTAGAAACTAAAAATAATAATGTGACGATACCCCATTACCACAATTTTTTTATCGTTATATTTTTATAGGTAAACCATACATGCATTTTAATGTTTTGTTACTGGAGTTGCTCTTATGTCAAATATGACAATCGGTTAGTACTTGATATGGTAATATATAAAAAAATAAATTTTAAAAATAAAAAAAATTTCCACGATTTATTTATATTGGCACTAGACCGTCACTAATTTGCAGTGGGCCCAATGAGAAGGGCCCGGCGATTTAGCTTGTAAATTCCATGCAACTCTTATAAGAGATGAATTTGTATTTTTTTAATACTTAAGGAGATTGAATTACACATGACACACCAATTCGCTTGTACCCAGACAAGCCAATGTATAAATCAAACTTGGTGCCTCCGCTTGGATTTACGAGCCCGCGCAACCTGGCTCAACAATCAATAATTAAGTTCTAGTTGATTATATATCCGCACTAAAAGTTTAATATTTCCAACGTGGGACCAGCAATTCATCTACTTTTTAATTTGTTTTCCTTAATTAGGGAGATTCGTTGCGATTTAATTATTATATGTTAAAGGCATCTCTATCTATATATTATTTTAGACAAAGGCTATTTGGAAATCCAAATATGCTGTTGATACGCGTTTTCCTCACATATAAATTACCGCAAGTATACAATATCGCATTTTTCAGAATAGTGGTTCCGGATATCGATCCACATGGACCTTGTAGATACACATGTTGAGTAGTGTAATTATATTATCTAGCCGATCGTAAATTTTTGGAATGGTGAGAAACCCTAATTTAAAAACATGCAAGATCGTAAACATGCAAATATAGAATGTACGTAAATAAAGTAACGACAACTCAACGCGGGGGGACTTCGATTTAAAGGGGACTTCTAGGGCCAAATCCACCTAAGTAACAACAACTCATCCCACCCTTTTTTGGCACAACCTGCACCGGACTAACCCACGGACTGTCAGAAATTGCATAAATCATACCAGCGCCTAACAGTTTTAAGACTTCATTTTTTACTACCTCTTTCATTGACGGGTTTAAACCGCCTCTGAGGTTGGACTCTCGGTTTATAGACGTCTTCCATTTGAATTTGGTGTTGAACAATAGACGGGCTAATACCCTTAATATCCTCAATAGACCAACCTATAGATGACCTATATTCTCTAAGGACCTCCAACAGTGTGTTTGTTTCGGCCTCGCTCTAACTGGAAGAAATGATCACCGGATAAGTCTTGTCTGCTCCAAGAAAAGCATAACAAAGATAATCCGGTAATTGTTTCAATTCCAGTACGGGGGCCGTTTTCACACTAACTGGTATCTCGGGGACGATTCCTACCTCGTCTATGCCTAAAATCTTGGCACACTCAAGAAACAACACACAATCAAGCACATCATTTTCAATAGGAGTTTCAGGGGAGGCATAATGAAAATCAAAGAGTTAACAATGCAGTGCTCAACAGAATCACATAATTCATACAAATTAAAAAAGGAGGAAACACAGTCCTCGATCACGTCTATTCTACTGCAATGCTCAACATGCTCAGAGTGTTTAAATGCATCTGTCAAATTAAAAACAACTTCTTCCCCATTTACCCTAAGCATTAAAGATCATAATTTCATATCAATCATCGCCTTACGAGTGGCTAAGAATGGACGACCTAAAATGATTGGTGCTTCATCATCTTCAAGCAAAATGAATTTATCTACTTTAACTAGCACATCTTCTACAACCCCATCAGGATATTTCAATGAACGATCAGCTAGTTGTAAAGTCATGCGAGTGCGGTTCAAATTTCCTAAGCCTAGTTTTAGAAACACAGACATAGGCATCAAATTAATACTTGCCCCCAAATCACACAAAGCTTTATCGAAAGTAGAATTTCCAATAATACAAGGAATATTGTAACTCCCTGGATCTTTCATTTTCGGTGGTAGATTCGACTGAAGAATGGTACTGCAAGTTGCCGTGAGTGTCACTGGTGTGTCTTCTTCGATCCGAATTTTCTTGGATAGGACCTCCTTCATGAACTTGGTATAGTTTGGCATTACCTCCAAGGCTTCTGCAAAAGGGATGTTGATTCGAATCTGTTTGATCTTTTCAATGAACTTCTTCAATTGATCCTTGAACTTCTTCTTCTTCTGTCTTTCTGGAAAAGGAATAGAAGTTATCATAAGAGGAGGATTATCAGGAAAAAAAAATGTTATTGAGCTCAGCGAACAAAATTCAATTTCGTATTAATTATAAATGAGCGTAAATGGTAGTACATTCCCGTCATGGGACAAAAACACTAGCTATTTTTCAAGTTTGAATTGCTTTGTGGTTTCTCTCATCTCTAATTGTAAATATTGGTTTTAAAATGGTGCGATAAATTAAGTTGAATTAATACATGCATTTTAATGTTTTGTTAGTGAAGCTGCTCTAATGGTAGAATATGAGAATTGGTTAGTACTCTTGTTAGGGTAATATAAAAATAAAAAAAAAAAAAAAATCGTCCACGATTTATTTACATTGGCACGAGACCGTCACTAATTTACAGTGGGCCCAATGAGAAAGGCCCGACGATTTGGCTTGTAAATTCGATGCAACCCACAAGAGATGAAATTGTATTCGAATAATACTCGGGGAGAATCGAATCACATAACACACCAATTCGCTCGAACCAAACCCACACAGGCCAATGTATAAATCAATCTTGCCTCCGCTTGGATTTACGAGCCCACGCAACTGGGCTCAGCAAACAATATTTTAATTCTAACTTATTATATATCTGCACTAATTGTTTTATATTTTCGATGTGGGACAAACAATGCATCTATTTTTTTATTTTTTATTTCCTTAATTGGGGAGTTAAGAATTACTAAAAAACCAGAGAACAATAAAATTAAAAAAGAGTTTCTACATGGACTCGAACTCGGGTTACTGAATTAACGGTCCAATATCCTGATCACTACACCATAGAACCATTTTGATTACTCTAGCAAAACAAATATTTAAACTTGTTGAATACTATTTACATATAAAATGTAGTTATGTAATGATAACTATACTTAAAGCTGCTAATTTTAGAGGATTTGAATATTCTTAAGTGATTAAGAGAATAATTAGAATTGTGATAAATTCTTATTTAAACAGGTCCAAATGATTTATGTTGCAATTTTGAAATTCTTTAGTCATCAATAAAAATATTTTCAAATACTTTTCTTATTTAAGAATATATTAATTGGTGTTTGTTTATCATTTGAAAACTCATCTTCATTTCGAAATTTGATGGTTTAACTACCGTTGGATTTCTTTCGTCGAGCTCTTTCTTTGGTATGGTAATATATAAACAAATAAACTTTAAAAAAAAAAAAAAAAAAACCGTCCACGATTTATTTGCATTGGTACAAGACCGTCACTAATTTGACACCAATTGACATGTAGTTATCTATATAATTATTCTAGATCAAAATAAGAGAAAAACAAAGTAGTTATCTATATAATTATTCTAGATCAAAATAAGAGAAAAACCAAACAAAATTAAGGTTCTACCGAGACTTGAACTCGGGTTACTGGATTCAGAGTCCAATGTCCTGACCACTAGACCATAGAACCATTTTGGTTACTATAGCAAAACAAATGATTTATAACCATAAAATACTATTTACATAAAAAATGTAGTTATGTAATGACAAGTGTACTTAAAGCTTCTAATTTTAGAGGATTTGAATATTCTTGAACGATGAAGAGAATAATTAGAGTTGTGATAAAATATTAAACTCTTATTTAAACAGGTCCAAATGATTTATGTTGCAGTTTCAAAATTCTTTAATCCTCAAAAAAAATTCAAATTCTTTTTCTTATTTAAGAATACATTAATTAGTGTTTGTTTACCATTTGAAAACTTATCTTAATTTCACTTTGTTCAAATTACCCTAAAAATTTCAAACATTTTTAAACATAATTTGACAATTAATATTTACAATGGTTATTCAATTCGTATCATCTAACCCATTAAATTTAATCTATCAGTTAAAATTAAAAAAAAAAAAAAATCATTAAATTTAGATATACAGTAAAATCTCGATAAAACCTACTAAATTATTAATTTGATAGCTTACCATTTCACAAAATTAATAGAATTTTTTTTTAATACCGACTGTCTTAATTTATAGGTGTTTATTATTTTTTTAATTTGTATGGTATATTTTGTTTTTAATTATAATAAAAATTATATATAAATATGCACAAAAGATCATTCAGAGGGCCCACAGTTTGTGTAAAGATGATAGCGTTCACTGGATTCAAACACAAAACGACACCGTCTCCCCTATGAACACGTATCAATTTATTTATCATCCATCATCGCTATGGTTTCCCTTCCATTCAGAAAACCTGAAAATTGATTTTTTTTTTTTTTTCACGAATTTCAATTTGTCTTCTCTTTCCAATTTCCAATCACCTCTTCCGCCACAACTCTTATCTAAACTGTAAAAATCATTCAATGAACAAAAAACATCACACATTTCTTTAGCAATCCAACTGCAGAAAAATCATCGTTTTTCCTCGCTTTTCCGTTCCAAGTACTTCACAATAGTTTGTGATTTTCGAAATCTGATCACAACCCATGTCAATTCTCACCTTTTCCCTCTAAACCCACGTCTCAATTTTCAATCTAAACCTACTCTGTTTGTTTTCATTCTTCAAGGTTCTGCCATGGCAGCCGCTCTAAGGTCAAAATCATCCAGAGACACAGCTTCCGCTGCCGTTTCACACTTCAGACACTTCATTCAAAATCAAACCCGCACGCACTCGGGTCGGGTCAACCATTACCATCAATCATCCGGGTTCGACCGGAGCTATCACAGTAATTTTCGTTTCCATCTAAACCCACCCTCCAATTCAAAACTCATCTCTCTGCACGGCAATTACATCGACGGTGGCAATAATTCTCAGAAATTCTTTGGCCACAAGAGAAAAATTCGAAACTTTAGCTCTCAGGGGGGGGACCCACCTAGCCTTTGGCAGCCACCTGGGGAGGAGGGTGTTGCGGACATAGGACCCGGCCCGAAAGACGCGTACTGGGGCGGATCCAATTTGGGCATGGATTTTCCGACCCCGAAAGAGATATGTCGAGGACTCGATAAGTTTGTGATTGGGCAAGAGAGAGCTAAAAAGGTTTATATGTTTTTTGCATTGATTTGTGATGACTGCATTACTGATAGGGGGTGTGTTAAAGCTTTAGTTTAGAGGTTACGTATCGTGTTGAAGTTTTCGTTTTTGTCGTCTATTTTCGGGTCGGTATATTGTTACTCATTTTTCTCGGCATTTGCTGATTGATTGCAGGTTCTTTCCGTAGCGGTTTACAATCACTACAAGAGGATACATAGTGACTCTTTGCAGAGGTGATTACTTTTGGAAAGCCCTACTTCGCTTGATTTTGCGTTTGCACGTTTATAAGGTCGATTTCATGAAATTTTGGTTTTATGATTGGCATCTTTCTGAATCTAAGTTTCATGTCGAGATTCATCAATCATCACTCATTAGTGTCGCATCTTTCGTAGACATTTTTTTTTTGATAATTAAAATGCATTAATAGGGGAAAGAAATATTACAAGTGTCAACGAGAAGAAACCCTCCATCATATCAAACGGAATAAAACCAGTCCAACTTCTAAAAATAGCCCAAGCCGCGAGGTTATGGGAAGCAAAATTGGGGTTTCTTGAGAGTTTACGGAAAATAGAATTTGTAGACATTAGCTAAGTTACTTATTGGAGTTTCAGAAGAGGGTTTACGGAAAATTGGATTTGTGCAATAATTCTGCTTTCCCTTTTGTCGTCATCTTAGTAATGGCGTAAGAATATCTGTATTAATGTTATACCTTGGAAGTTAGGACTGCTGGGAGTTCAGATAACGACAAAGCCGAGGGCAAAGACGACGAGGACGTGGAACTTGAAAAAAGTAACATTCTTGTCATGGGGCCCACGGGTTCAGGTAATTTTTCTGCAATGCCGTTTTTGCTGAGTGTTTGTATTTACGAGTATGCAGAGGTGCGGTGAAGACTGTACTCGATCATGTTGTGATATTGCGAAACATTCTATAGAGCTATATCGTTTCTCTATTTTGGATGCCAGCATTTAGCGACTATATTTTGTTTAATAATTTAATGGTGGCTTTGATGCCAATTTTATGGACAGGAAAGACACTACTCGCCAAAACTTTGGCGAGGTTGGTAAACGTGCCGTTTGTAATCGCTGATGCCACCACACTTACTCAGGCAAGTCACGTTCTTACACAAAGCACTATGATATTTTTTTTCCGTGTGACCTAACTGAATCGAAAATCTGAAAGTGTACCCGTATCTTTATTTTGACGATATTTATTGTATTTGCAGGCAGGATATGTCGGGGAGGACGTTGAATCTATTTTATACAAGCTGCTTATGGTGAGCTGGATATAGTTGTTTTTTTTTTTTTTTTTTTTTTTTAATTCGGACACTATCTGTTTGTCTCTTCTGAATACTGTCTGGATAAAGTTGTGACCGGCAGTAAACTGTTGTATTTCTTGTCCAAATTAGGTTGCAGACTATAACGTGGCAGCTGCACAACAAGGCATTATTTACATTGACGAAGTTGACAAGATCATCAAAAAGGTGTCTCTTATGTTACATCTATCAAAATAAATTTATCGAACCATTACAATCTATAACCATAACGAACAATAAAAATCCCGAACACATCTGTTACTGCCCAATGATGTGATTATCTGTTGCAGGCTGAGAGTGTCAATATTAGTAGAGATGTGTCGGGGGAGGGTGTCCAACAAGCACTGTTGAAAATGCTCGAAGGGACTGTAAGCATTTTATTCGTCTTCACCTTACTCATTTTAATTTTTTTTTTTTTAAATTTTTTCTATGGTTTCTCATTTGCCACCTCAGGTGGTCAATGTCCCAGAGAAAGGTGCTCGGAAACATCCTAGAGGCGACAATATTCAGGTTCGTATAATAAAGCAGTACGTGTTGCATCTTCTAAGATTCTTTTATTCATTTTTTCATTTATTTAATCTACTCTTGACCGTGTTTTCCTTGTTATATGCCTCTGTATGTATAAAAAAATGTCTATTGGGCTATGAAAATTGAAATCACGAAAACCGTTTTACTCTATTTATTTGACAGATTGACACAAAGGACATTCTCTTTCTATGTGGGGGTGCTTTCAACGACTTGGAAAAGACGATTTCAGAAAGGTCATATAATAATTTTACTCTCACTGTAATATATATATATATATATATATATATATATATATATATATATATATATATATATATATATATATATATATACTCACCCTTAGTTTTTTGTATCTATTTAGAAATTTAAATCCATTGTTTTTTCAGACGACACGATTCGTCCATTGGTTTTGGTGCCCCCGTTCGTGCAAACATGAGAAACGGAGGTCTTACAAGTGCTGCTGTGACATCATCTTTGCTAGAAACCGTAATCTTTTTAACCTTTCTCATTACCCTCGTGTCTGATTTTGTGTAAATTATCTAGTCTCTCTCTTTATCAATCACCATAATCGTGTTTTTTTTTCTTCCAAGGTTGAAAGTAGTGATCTTATAGCATATGGGTTAATTCCCGAGTTTGTGGGACGATTTCCCGTACTTGTTAACTTGTTAGCACTTACCGAGAATCAGCTTGTTCAGGTATAACTTATATATGTTCTATTTTTTTTTAATACCTTTATTTGAAATAATTGGGATTTGTTTGGTTAATAAAAAAAGGGAAAATTCTCGACGTATGTTTAAAACTCTCTACTAAATAATCGACATAATGAGTTGCGCAATACTATTAAATTTTGTTTTCCAGGTTCTGACGGAGCCGAAAAATGCATTAGGAAAGCAGTATAGAAAAATGTTCCAAATGAATGGAGTAAGTTTCCCGTATTCGTCCACTACATATATTTCTCGTACATTAAAGGAAAAAAAGCTCATTATAACATATGTTGTTAGGTGAAGTTGCACTTCACAGAAGATTCTTTGAGATTGATTGCTCAAAAAACGTTAACTAAGAATACCGGGGCCCGCGGTCTTCGATCCATGTTGGAGAATCTTTTGATGGATGCTATGTACGAGGTTTGTCTTTCTTCTCCTTCCTAATCTTATATTCGTACGAGATTTTCGATTATCTTTCTCCAAAAACATTTACACATGATTTAAAATGTTACAATAACGTGTTTCGTCTCTTTTCAAAATAGTAACAAACATATTGCTCTTTCTTTCTTCCCCCAATATATTTTCGATTTGAGCCACGTGTGATGAAAAATGACCTTTTTACCCCTGTAATTGCAGATTCCTGATGTTAGAGAAGGTGATGATGTAATAGACGCGGTTGTAGTAGATACAGAGTCGGTTGGTTCCGATGGTCGAGGCTGTGGGGCTAAAATCCTTTACGGCAAAGGGGCATTGGACCGTTATTTTTCACAGCACGAGTTTAAAGATTCAAAGGTACAGTGTATAAGGGGCCAAGACCCCCCTCCACACACACACACACACATATTTTGACGTGTTAGTAAATAATATATGATGTTCTTGAATTGCAGAAAACTGCAGAAGGTTCTTGTGAAGGAGAAGCAGAGGTCGAACACGAGCTTCCTTGTATTGTTGCACTGTAAATCTCTATCGATCAAGATCCGTGGTTTCTTTCTGTACAGCGTAAATCCGAATGAACAGATTTTACTTGTAAGTTTACTACATTA